TTCAATTAAATGGCAATCAAAGTCAGTTGATCAATGTCAGTTATCTTGGTGGGGAGTCCCGCGATTCCACAACTTTTCTGTTTAAAGTTTTAAGTAGGAATTTCAAAAGGAGTGTTGCTAGGTACATACCAAAAAAGCAAATGGCCCAAGCACTGGGAAGAGCAATAAATAGAACAGATGAGTGGGTCAACATTTAGAATACCATGATTGTCTAAAGAGCTGCATGGATTCTCAAAATACTTAATTCAACAGAGTTTAAGGGTAGAGATATTGCTCAGTGGTAAAACGATTGCCTACCATGCTCAATATACTGGGTTCAATCCCTAGAGGAGCACAAACTATGGCAACATCAAAGTGAAAGGTAAAAGCTTTAACTTCAAAAGACCAAGCCTGGGTAAGAAAGGAAACCTGATTTGGTAAAAATGCGAGTAAAAATGAGTAGACTTAATGGACTCTGAGCTTATTTTCATTCACTCACTCATTCATTCATCCATCCATTCATTCAGCAAATATCTATTAAATATATTCTGTGTCACACCCTTCTTTGGCACAAGGGAGACAGTGGTGACTGAAATCATTAAACTTCCCTACCTACATAGAACTTACCTTCTTATGTGTGAAATCTTACTCAGCTGATGAAAATAAGAACCTTATGCTACCATTATTTGCATATGCATAATGTCTAACTCCTGTTGAGTAACAGTTTCCCTATTACTTAATGCCCTGCTCTTTTTTTTGTTGAATTATTTATCTATTTATGTAACTTTTTATACACATTACTCTCAGTTCCCTTTCCCTCCCCTCCTCCACCAGACCCCCATTCCTCCCAACCCCCCCCATCCCACTCCATCTCCCTTCCAATGCCCTGGGTCATTACTTTTGCTTGAAAAACAGTCTGGTCAAATGAATTCCAGTAGAGTGGTAAGAGACATAGCAACTGTACTGGAAGATAGTTGATAGAAGATGGATCAACGACAACCAGAAAAAACTAGAATGAGACATTATGAACACCAGTCTTCAGGAAGACACTGTAGGTTTAATCTCTATTGCTCCCAAAAGTGGTGATTAATGACATGATTGCTAAATTTTGTGAATGTCAGAATCTCCGGGAGTCTGTATCCTATGTGCGCTCTCTGGGGGTGAGACATCCTCATTGTCTTGTCCACCACTAAATTCCTAATGCCAGTGACTGTGCCTGGCATGTGGTTGGCTGCCAGCGGATACCTTTTGAATGAATAAGGGAAAGAAGGGACTCCATTGTGGTTGGCATTTGTGGCACAGACCCTGCCCTTGCCTCAGAAATAGATGGATTTTTGTCTGGTGTCTTGTAAAGCTAACCTATAAATTTGAAACTGGCAAGTTTAGTCTGTCTTTATCATAAGGAATCTAGACGGGGAGTAAGTGATTAAAAGCAGATGTAGGAGACCAGAATGTTTTTTTTTTTACCACATTCTCACAGCTCCAAGTTAATTAAATCACTTTTCTTAAGAGATATTGAAGAGGCCATTTTAGGATTTATTTGAAATCACTCAAGTATGCTGATTTAAGCATTAGCTATCACAACTCAGCCCCACCACTTTCTTGAGATCTTTGCCATATTTCTGTCTCACACAGGACCTAGCTTTCTGTAACCTTAAATACAATTCTAAGTTTGGTATTTAATGCCCAATTGTTCGTGGTTTGCTCCATTGAGACAAGCTTTTTGAAGACAAAACCTTTTCCCCCCGGAATTTGTCACAGAAACCCAGTGAGGGACAATTTGCTCCATTGCTTGTCTCATTGAAACACTAGTCAAGAGGGAGAGTTCATAAAATAATATCTTCCCAGCCATTTTCATTTTGGTTTATCCCTACCATCTGTGGTTCCTCTCTGGAGTGCTCCAATGGATACAAAAATTAATTTCCTGTCAGCACTCAATTAAGACATAACAGTTTCTCTGTCCTACACACCCAAGTTATGCAGTTATGGCCTTTATTATAGCCTGTCTTTTGGGCTAGGCTAATGCTTTGTACACAGTTGAATCTTTGTGTACAGTGACAGAGTTATTAATAGTTGAATGACTGAATTTTGGGCCCAAACAGCCTTCTTGGTTCAACTTCCAAAGATTGCCAGGACCATAGGTGTCAATTTCTAAGACCAAGTGTGATAAGATTCAGCACATCAAAACATAAGAGTCCCAGGGACACTTACACTCCACATGAATAGCAATATCTGGAATATATTTATACGTTTTAAAGTGTGTGTTATTTTGTAGAGTTTGGAGGTAAATATGATTGCATTATTCTCTTTAGCAACCCTCCATGTGGTCCCAATCATCTTAATTTCCTATAAATCTAGGCCCCGACAGCCCAAACTAATGCAACAAAGTGAAAATATGTATGCTCTTGTGAAGGAAAAAAATGCACACAATACACACTTTGATCATATTCCCTCATTTATAGCTAATGATGACAATTCCACAAATATCTAAGATCTTGGCAGTCCCCATTTAAGCTCTGGTTGTTTCTTTGGTAGCATGATTTATTTGATGTAGTGGTATAATTCATTGCTGATACTATTTTGCTTCACTTGTACAGTGACTATTACTGTCAGATAAGTAGGCGCCTTGCATGGGAGGCCTGTGAAATATGAATTTAGTGTAATGATTTTAGCTCCCACAAACCACCACACTAACTATTAAGAGCTGTAGAAATAAAAGCAGAGCATTGCCACTCTTTGCTAATTTTTCCAGCTCTAATCAAAAGAACCCTCTTTTTCATTGCACCCTTTAGTTTTCTTTTTGCAGAGGAAGCCATCTGATACTTGGGGAAACAATCCTTCCATTTTCATAAACTGCATATGGAATGTTGTTTCTTGTTGTTTGGTGGCAATGACCTTTAAACATCACCCATCTCTTCATTAAGCAAATATTTATTAAACAGGTCTGTTACAGGCATGAGAGGGGAAACCAATGAGTCGTGCGAATCTGCTTTCAAGGGGCTCACAAGAGTCTGCATGTTCCATCTTGTCTTTAAACGGTTCATCAGGGTGTCAGCAAAAGGCTGGTGGTAAGAGCTAATTAGCTCATTGAGGAATGAAATGGTTCTTCCCTCATATGCATTAAATAAATATCGAGCTTGACATTCTGAGCAGAAACTGCTCTTTGTGGATAGCTCTAACAGCTAGAATGAATCTATTTCCTTCTTGGGCTGCCTTTATTGGAGACTTTGATGCTCTGTGTGGTCCTTAACCAGGAGCAATGGCATCTTCGTGAGAAATATAGATGCTAAGTCCCTACCCTGGACCCACTAGATCAAAATCTACCTTGTCACCAGATCCCCAGGGGACATATTTATGCACTGTTTGAAAGTTACTAATCTAATCCCATTGTCTCTCGTATCTTTTTTTGTATACACATTGTTGGGGGGGGTCTTAAAATATGGATTTCTGGGCTCTTCCCTGGTTTTGTATTATCCAGTCAGAGTCTGAGAATTTGCATTTGTGCCAAACTCCTAGAAGATTCAAGGGTTGCCTGTTGAGAATTTATTTTGATCATTCTTGGTCATGAGCTTATCCTTATAATTCACTAATGCCAGGGGATATCAGGAGAAAGCGGAAACAAGAAAGCTGACTACCCAGAGAGAGATGATTTGAACATGTATTGTTTTTGCAATTTGAGAAGACATTAGCTTTCCTCGTTAGTTCACTTGGGAAACGGAATTTGCTGGTGAGATTAATGTGAACTCCATTGAGGTGGTCAGGCTGGTTTTCCTTTGCCTATACTGGATTCATGAACATGACTGTGAAACTGTTCCCTGAGGTATACTGGCTGCCAGGAGGGATGGGCCCACAAGTGGATGGCTCTTTAGACTGGAATGCAGTCCCTGCATTCCAGACAGCAGAAAGAAGTTTTGTGCTATCTGTAGATATTTCAGGCGGACCAGGATGGGACAGGTATCCTGGAGCTCGGGAGCCACAAAATACTGAGTGTTACACAGCTCAGATGGAAAGGTATCCTGGAGCTAGGGAGCCAAGGACTACCACAGGCTGCAGTAAGGTTAGTAGCTTACATCCTTGCCTCAGGGAAAGGCTTCCCAGTGTATCAGCTGTCTGCCAGGGGAAGGTTTCCCCTGCAAAAGTGTTACAGCCCTGATGGCTCTGCTCTGTCTGCTTGCTCTGCTCTGCCCAGGGTCGCTTCTGCTCCACCATCTCTGCAAAAGAAGGTCGTCCCCCAAAGCTCATCAAAGGGGTTTATTGGGAGGGAAGAATCCAGGAGAGTGACTGCCCTCTGCCAGAGTGACAGAGGACAGCCAGATAGTGTGAACAGCCACAAGTTGAACAGACACAGGGTTTATATAGGGCTTCCGGGGTGGGGATTGGTCAGATTTCAGTGCTGAGCTCAGATTGGCTAGAGCTCCTGCTCCAGGATTGGTTAGTTTTCTGCACAGGGTTAGGGTCAGATTTGGCTCTGGTTTCAGGGCCAAAGTGAGTTTCTTTCTCTGGTCCTTTTTAGGCTTTTGGCTCCAATTTTTGGGCCATAGTGTATTTCTTTCACTGACTCTGATTCCAGGGACAAAGTGTGTTTCTTTGGCACTGGTTTCAGGGTCAGGGTACATTTCTTTAGTTCTGGTTGCAGGGCCAAAGTGTGTTTCTTTGGCTCTGCTCAGGGTGTGTTTCTTTGACTGGTCCCTTTTCCCTGCACTACCCAGGATGTTCAGTCATTTGACGTACAGCTCTGTGAGAAAATACAGTATTGAGAGATTTAATGCACGGCACACATGTTCAGCACCAGCATTCAATCCAGTGTTACTAGCTGTGGTCTTCTAAGGCCTTAGGAATGATGAAGAGAAGGGATTGAGGGAGTAATACGTTGAGAAATAAGTTTGGAACATGGGCTGGAGGGTCTTCAATGTCTTGTTAAGGAATTGGGATTCTGTCATGTCCCTTTTTTCCCTGCCATGACCCTTTTTCAAGTATAATTGCCCTTACCATTGTGTGTATGCTTTCTTTTTCACTTTTAGGATTAAGCATGAAAACATTGTTGCCCTGGAAGACATTTACGAAAGTCCGAATCACCTGTATTTGGTCATGCAGCTGTGAGTACCTTGTGTGATGAGTGCTGAGGGGTGTGAGCACCAGAACCTAACAAACGGATGCTGTGGGTCGCGTGAGGTGATGAGAAATGACAGTCTGTAGAGCACTGGAAAGCAAAGATCACCCCATGCAGGGCACACAGGCATCTTCAGACCCCAGCAGACCCATCCTGTGGCTGCTGAATCTCACAGTTGGGCTCCATGCTACTACACTTTGCCTCCATGACTGTCTCATGTGCCAGGGCCAAATGTTGCCTAAAGACACTCCCATGGGCCAAGTCTGAGGAACACTCTGCTGTCATCTCTAGGAGAGACTCCCACCCCATTTCATTCTCAGGGATGCTGGGGGAGGCAAGCAGATGGCAGCTGTGTACTCCATCCCTTCCCCTCTCTCTGTCTGGTGGATAGTAACATTCACTTGTGACTGAACTGGGGATTCATGACACACACACAAAAAGGAAGTGTTACTGGAGTCAGATGGTGACATTGCCACCTCCATTAGGTTGTCCCTGTAATCCACAGACACCTAAGATTTCCAAGGCAGGGAGGAAGTGAGAATATCAGCTAGAGATGACTTATAAACGTATTTTTTTAATTTAAGGTGAAATTATCTTTCTCACTGCATAAGTACTTTGGTTTAAGCATGTCATTGTCAGCATCATCCTGTTCTGTATTTGCTAGAATTAAATATTAGAAATCTCCCAGAATGTTAGGCCATCTCCATGACCTGTATAAGTAGATGCTGGGACATCACATTATTGAATCCTGTGACAGAGAGGATTGTTATTGAAGTGAATTTGATTATGTATTAATGAGGCTCAGATTTCTGCTTGCCAAATTTGTGCAGAAGAATTCGTAGGTAGGTTATGCTAATGGATGGTTTTTCATGTTTTCTCTTCCTACGGACATTTGTATAACGTTATCTCCTAGAGATTATTTTGATACAAAGGAATGCCCATCAGTTCATCTCTTTACTATTTCATTACTTTTAAAGTATTTTCATGGGTGATAGTATTTTGGATAAATAATTTGGAAATATCCCAGTTGGAAGCATGTCTGATTTTCTTTGACATAGACAGTTAAGTCAGTCTAAGCAGCTGTTTTATTGCCTAGTTTAGTGTGAACTGCCCAGTTACACAGGAATATTTCTTATTTCTCCTCTCTTTTGTTAGCTGTATAATTGCACATTTCTGTTTTTCTTTCCTAACCAATAATAACTCTCCCCAGATTTAGAGATAGTTGCTAAAAACTCTTCTGACTTGGTTTGTATAGTGTCTCTTCTTTGGAGATATAAATGAATCATTTTCAAATATTGATTGCCTAGTAGGAAGAATGTAACATTTGGAGGATGAGCAAAAGCCCCATAAAATGTCATCTGTGTATTGAACTGTATGGCTTTTTTTGTTGTTGTTGGTAGTGCAAAATGACCAGTACTACAGTAAAGCTCCAAGGTCTTTGCATTTATTTACTGCAGGTTTGTGTGTATAAAAATATACCACATATCACTTTAAGTACCACAGAGATGGAAATCTCAGCTGTGCCACTGACCAGCTAAGAGAATTGGGGCAAATGACCAGCCTCCCTGAGGACCGGTTTCTGTAAGAAGATGGCAATGTTTACTTTAGAGCTGGGGAATGTGTGGGAAATGATCATGAAGAACAGGTCCTCTGTATGTGTAGGTTTCTTTGTGGACATATGTATCATTTCATCAGGATGTCTCTGCCGATGCTCTTAGGATTTTAATGAGATGGAGTCCAAATAGGCCTCAGTTTTGCTTCTTTAAATGGCTTGGTCATGTGCTCACCAGAAGAAGTATATATAAAGAGGAATTGGCCCAAGGACAGTCAAGTGCCTTGAACAGAACCAATCTTAGACCAAAGCCTGGAGAGCCTGTGGTTGATACACACATATCCCAATCCCACTCTGTGCTTGTCAGTTGAGAAACATCTTCTCTTGGTGGCTGCTAGAGAGAGCTTCATTACCATGAACCACAATTATGGAGAATTCTTAGTATCTCAGGGAGGAATTAGGCAGGAACCAACTAACCTTTTGCAGTAGTGCTGGGTCGATTTGTTAGGTAAAGCCAGTGCAAAATCCTGATCTAAACGTGATGGATGGTTGAATTACCTAAAGAACAAAGCTATGTATCTGCATGGTTAAGCAGTTTAGAAGCATTGGATATGCCAAATACAACATGTTAACTTGTACCATTCATGTTTCTGTGGTTTTCTTTACTCTTTCAGGAGTCAATTTTGATGAAATGTAAGTCACACAGGATATATATCATTTAATTGAACTGGTTGTCTCAGGGATGAACATAACACCGTTTCTGGTCCTCCCAAAAAGATTCCTTGTATCCTTTTCAACCCCTTCTTCACTAACTCATGGTACAGTCAATGATTTAACTTCCACGAGAGATTTTTTTAATTGATTCTAAAATATAGAAACAGAGTAACATAGTATGCACTCATTTGTGCCTGGCTTAATTCACTGATAGGGGTAGCCTATCCTCAGTACCTTTCATAGCTATGTCAAAAATCAACTGCCTGAGCCAGCAAGATGGCTCAGCAGGTAAAGAGCTTGCTGCCAAGCCTGACAACCTGAGTTCAATCCTTGGGTTACACATGGTGGAAAGAGAGAAGCAACCTGACAAGTTGTTTTCTCAACTCTACAAGTGTGCTATGTATGGTACATGCAAAACACACACACACACACACACACACACACGATTGCTGTTTTAGTTAAAATATTGCTTGATGGTATTTTTGTACTCATTATTCTGTTCTATGTATCTGTCCTTGGATCAATACTGTACAATACCACAGCTCAAAAGTACATCTTAGAACTAGGTGCATTTTACTCCTATATTACATTCCAATGCCCTTTTATCATTTATTATTTTCTAAAATATCTTTGGCATTCTTAAAACAGATTGTTTATATAAATTTTTAGATCAGATTTTGAGACTTGTTTGTTGAAGTGTTGTTCGTAATTGCATGGAATCTAAGTAGAAATTTGAGAACAGTTGGTAACTTTGAACTTTAATTTATAAACACAACTTGTTTCTCTATTTAGGTCTTTTATTAAACTTAGTCTATATTTTACAGTTTTTAGCATGTGGGCCTTTAATGCCTTTGCTCGGTTTAATCTGAAATATTTCATTTTATTGATCCTGTTGTAACTGGATGTTATTTCATTTTTCTAGTTGCTTGATAGTGGGTTAAAATACAATGAACTTTTATAAGTGATTCCCGTGGTAGTTCAAGTAGTTGTTTTATGTTTTGTTTTGTGTTTTCTGTACCAACTCTTGTTAATTTCCAGAAGAATTCTATGTAGCAAAATTTTAATAATTTAGTTTTACTTACCATGGATACATAAGGTAATATTGTATGTCTTTGAAATGGCTCTTGTCATATGTGTTGGGAATTCATATATAACAGCTCTGATCTTTCCTCTCTTCTATGATCTAAATTAAATGTTTTTTAAAGTAATGACAAAAAAGAGAAGAAAAAGCAATGACAGAAACCCCTTGAGGTATCAGAATACAGTATTATTGGAAAGACTTTGGCTTGCTTTGGGAATTTTTTTTTTTTTTTTTTTGGTTTTTACGAGACAGGGTTTCTCTGTATTGTTTCGGAGGCTATCGGTCCAGCCCGGCCTCGAACTCACAGAGATCCGCCTGCCTCTGCCTCCCGAGTGCTGGGATTAAAGGCGTGCGCCACCACCGCCTGGCTGCTTTGGGATTTTGCAGGCTGCATGATTTGTCATTGTATTGGGTTTTACTTGCCAAGACCTGGTAGTACTTTACTCCTGAAGTTTGATGTATGTAAGCTTTGGGGTCTGGATCAGTCAAAAGTGGTTTTATTTATTTGGGTTTTGTTTGCTTGTTTGTATTTGCTTTCATTTTTGACTCACTTGAAAAATCCTTGATTTCTAAATATGTAGAATTTAAAATACAACATTTGGTGTACTGAATTTCACAGTATTTGTGCCTGGGAGGGCTTTAGTTTCCTAGGAAACGTTACCCTCAGCACCAAGGCTCTTCAGCATGCTGATGCTATTGCTTTTCTAATGGCTATCTCAATTCTGAGGGTGGGGTATATTTGTCCTGTACTGCTGTAGGAAAGATTGGTTGTTTAGGGCATGTTTATGTACATTTTATTTGCATTTTGGAAAACACATTTTTTTACAGAATGCTATTTTGGGGGACAGTCTTCTGTAGACAGTAAGAGACTGAGACCACACTGATATAATTTATAGATGAGAAATCAGCTTATTTCTGATCTGTCTGTGCTTGTAGACTATCAATCCTGTATTTGGAAAGCCACCCCACTCACCTTTTCCCTTTCATTTCTATAGTGGGTTGAATAAACTGCAAGTGGATACAATAAAGTATATATTTAAAGGGCTGCAAAGATAGTTCTTGGGGCAAAGTGTATACCACACATGCATGAGGACCTGTGTTCATAGTCTCTGAACCTAACTAAGGCTAGATACAACAGCAAACATCTATAATTCCAGTGATCCTACTGCAAGATGAGAGATGGAGACAGGGGCATTCTTGTAGCTCAGATAACCTGGTATATACCTGCCTTGAAGTGGAAGGCAAGACTCAACACCAGAGATTTTTCTCTTTCCTTGACACATGCATATCATGGCATGCACACACACACACACACACACACACACACACACACACACACACACACACACACACACTCATATACACATGTACAAACTTGCATACTTAGGCATACACCTAAACAAACAAAAGAATATATTAGAAGTACTTTTATAGAAAAAATAAATAGATAATATTGCTATTGTGCTTTGCCATCTTTCTAATAAGGTTTTAGGTTTCATACATGGGTAACTCCTGAGTCTCTCTCTGCAGCCTAGAACTACTTAGCAGTTCCACTTTGCTGCATGATAAGTTCCATTCACAATTTCCATAAAATCTGTTTATCCTGGTATCTGTCTCAATCTTAGCAAATGACAGCCCC